CGGGGCTTGTGCGGGTGCTGCTTGTGCGGGTGCTGCTGTTTGCTGGGCTGCTGTTGCTGTGCGCTGGTGCGGGGTGCTGCGGGTGCGGGTGCTCCGGTGCTGGTGCGCTGGTGCTGGTGCTGCTGGTGCTGGTGCTGGGGCTGGTGCTGCTGTGTGTTTGGTGCTGCTGCGTGCTGGTGCTCCTGTATCCCGGTGCGCTGTGTGCTGGTGCTCTGCGTGCTGGTGCTGCTGTTTGCTGGTGCTGCTGTGTGCTGGTGCTGCTGTGTGCGGGTGCTGTGGCTGCTGGGTGCTGCTGCGTGCTGGTGCTGCTGTGTGCTGGTGCTGCTGCGTGCTGGTGCTGCTGTGTCTGGTGCTGCTGGGGTGCTGGTGCTGCTGCGTGCGGTGCTGCTGTGTGCTGGTGCTGCGTGCTGGTGCTGCTGTGTGCTGGTGCTCCTGTGTGCTGGTGCTGCTGTGTGCTGGTGCTGCTGTGTGCTGGTGCTGCTGCGTGCTGGTGCTGCTGCGTGCTGGTGCTGCTGTGTGCTGGTGCTGCTGCGTGCTGGTGCTGCTGTGTGCTGGTGCTGCTGCGTGCTGGTGCTGCTGTGTGCTGGTGCTGCTGCGTGCTGGTGCTGCTGTGTGCTGGGCTGCTGTGTACGGGTTTGCTGCTGTGTGCGGGTGTTCTGTTTTGCAGGTACTGCTGTACTCACCTAGTTGTGGTTGCAGGGGACGAGTCATAGCTCCTGGACCCGCCTCTTCACTGGTCGCTACTGGGTCACTCTCCCTGAACCATGAGCTTTGTCGTCCATCTGCTTAAAGCTGTGTATGGATCCTGCCTCCACTACATCGCTTCCCAGACTATTCCACTTACTGACAACTCTGTGACAGAAGAAATACTACCTAACATCCCTGTAATTCATCTGTGTCTTCAACTTCCAACTGTGTATCCCCTTGTTGCTGTGTCCCATCTCTGGAACATTCTGTCTCTGTCCACCTTGTCAATTCCTCAATGTATTTTATATGTCGTTATCATGTTCTCCCTGTCTCTCCTCTCTTCCAGTGTCGTCAGGTTGATTTCCCTTAACCTCTTCTCGTAGGAAATACCTCTTAGCTCTGGGACTAGTCTTGTTGCAAACCTTTACACTTTCTCCAGTTCCTTTACGTGCTTGGCTAGGTGTGGGTTCCAAACTGGTGCCGCATACTCCAATATGGGCCTAACGTACAAGGTGTACAGGGTCCTGAACGATTCCTTATTAAGATGTCGGAATGCTGTTCTGAGGTTTGCTAGGCGCCCATATGCTGCAGCAGTTGTGCTTCAGCAGATGTGCCTGGTATTATACTCACCCCAAGATCTTTTTCCTTGAGTGAGGTTTGTAGTCTCTGGCCCCCTACACTGTACTCCGTCTGCGGTCTTCTTTGCCCTTCCCCAATCTTCATGACTTTGCACTTGTTGGGGCTGAACTCCAGGAGCCAATTGTTGGACCAGGTCTACAGCCTGTCCAGATCCTTTTGTAGTTCTGCCTGGTCTTCGTCGGAGTGAATTCTTCTCATCAACTTCACGTCATCTGCAAACAGAGACACTTCAGAGTCTATTCCTTCTGTCATGTCGTTCACAAATACCAGAAACAGCACTGGTCCTAGAACTAACCCCTGTGGGACCCCGCTGGTCACAGGTGCCCACTCTGACACCTCGCCACGTACCATGACTCGCTGCTGTCTTCCTGACAATTATTCCCTGGTCCATTGTAGTGCCTTCCCTGTTATCCCTGCCTGATCCTCCAGTTTTTGCACTAATCTCTTGTGTGTAACTGTGTCAAACGCCTTCTTACAGTCGTAGAAAACGCAATCTACCCACCTCTCTCTGTCTTGTCTCACTGCTGTCACTGTCAGAGAACTCCGGTAGGTTTGTGACACAGGATTTCCCATACCTGAAACCATGTTGGCTGCTGTTGATGAGATCATTCCTTTCAAGGCGTTCCACCACTCTTCTCCTGATAATCTTCTCTATGATTTTGCATACTATACATATCAGTGACACTGATCTGTAGTTTAGTGGGACTACATTTGCTGTCTTCCATACCTCAGATAATCTCCCCGTTTCGATAGACGTATTGAATATTGTTGTTAGGGGTACACATAGCGCCTCTGCTCCCTCTTTCAGGACCCATGGAGAGATGTTTTCCTGCCCCTTCGCATTTGAGGTATCCAGCTCACTCAGAAGCTTCTTCACTTCTTCCTCGGTTGTGCGTACTGTGTCCAACACTTGGTGGTGTTCCCCACCTCTCCGTCTTTCTGGAGTCCCTTCTGTCTCCTCTGTGAACACTTTGAATCTCATGTTCAGTTCCTCATATACTTCGCGGTCGTTTCTTGTTGTCTCTCCTTCCTTCCTAAGCCTGATTACCTGGTCCTTGACTGTTGTTTTCCTCCAGATGTGGATGTATAACAGCTTTGGGTCAGATTTGACTTTAGCTGCTATGTCGTTTTCAGGTGCTGCTGTGTGCAAGTGCTGCTGTGTGCAGGTGCTGCTGTGTGCAGGTGCTGCTGTGTGCAGGTGCTGCTGTGTGCAGGTGCTGCTGTGTGCAGGTGCTGCTGTGTGCAAGTGCTGCTGTGTGCAGGTGCTGCTGTGTGCAGGTTCTGTGTGCAGGAGTTCCTGTGCACAGATGCTTGTAATAGGGAACATTTGTATTGTACACCAACAGCTAAAACATTTTTCGCATTTGTCATCTGTTTTATAATTTCTGTGATGTCTCTGGTAGGGATTTCAAAATACTTTTAGAATTATCTTTGAACGATGATAATTTAATGTCAATTTTAACTGGTATTATTGTCTTTGGTTAGATACTATTTATTTGTGTTCTGTGCTTTATTCAGTTAAGTGTTTTTTTTTTTTTGATAATTATATCTTCATTTTCCTTATTTATGTTTTTTTTTTAATTACCGCGAGTGCTGAATGATTTATAATATCAAACGCTTCTTAGGTTTCAATCCTACCTACCTAAGTACCATAATTCTTTCTCCTCAGCTATATTCCCAAATCCACACTGGCAGCATTAATCATCAGCGCTGTGTTTCATCTCATTGACTACGAGATCTTGGCTCCTCTCTGGAGGAGTAAGAAGACCGACCTGATACCTCTTATAGCTACCTTCTTGGCCTGCCTCTTGTGGGGACTCGAGTGGGGAATCTTGATTGGTATCGGTGTCAATCTCTCAATGCTTCTGTATTCCATTGCTTCACCCACCGTTAACGTGGCTGTTGTTCCATCAAAGGTAACTTTTGTTCTTTTGACTATTTATTGTCCAGGATTTTGGAAGATAATTCACTAGATGTTAGAGTAATCTGCCAGAAAGTAGCTATTTAATGTAGATTTATTTTGTGGTGGAGGAAAACGAGTTACCATAATTATATTGTCTCAAAAGTCGAATTTTATAGTTTTTTTTTCTTTTCTGTAATTGTTTTAAAAGATGCATTGGTTATATTAAAATTTGGATCATTTTGGTTAAAATGCTAATAGTTCAACCAGAAAAAAAACGAAACATCAAACGACTGTAAAGTATTTTACTTCCTTATAAAAAAACACAGAATCCATATGCTTCTGAGTTGTTTATTTAATGGTATTGTGCAGATGTGTTTTCTGGGTATTTTTAATGGCTTATTACTTGTGCACAAATTATTCAGTAGCTTGACAGATTTATAAATCTGTAATGACCAAAAATCACTGTATATCAACCTGTAATTATACAGCCATAATACCTGAATTATAGAGAAATAGATGTTTGTTCTTGAGTATTTTATTCAATAATCAAAAACTAATTTTTTCTCACTTCATGTTTACCTCAGAAACACCGTAGAGGAAATGTTCTGGTTATTGTACTCTTCATGGCTTCTGGTGCTCCAGCATCTCTCACATCTCACTCATCTTTCTCTCTCAGAATGATAGTAGAGGATATGTTCTGGTTATTGTACTCTTCATGGCTTCTGGTGTTCCAGCATCTCTCACATCTCACTCATCTTTCTCTCTCTCAGAATGATAGTAGAGGATATGTTCTGGTTATTGTACTCTTCATGGCTTCTGGTGTTCCAGCATCTCTCACATCTCACTCATCTTTCTCTCTCTCAGAATGATAGTAGAGGATATGTTCTGGTTATTGTACTCTTCATGGCTTCTGGTGTTCCAGCATCTCTCACATCTTACTCATCTTTCTCTCTCTCAGAATGATAGTAGAGGATATGTTCTGGTTATTGTACTCTTCATGGCTTCTGTGTTCCAGCATCTTCACATCTCACTCATCTTTCTCTCTCTCAGAATGATAGTAGAGGATATGTTCTGGTTATTGTACTCTTCATGGCTTCTGGTGTTCCAGCATCTCTCACATCTCACTCATCTTTCTCTCTCTCAGAATGATAGTAGAGGATATGTTCTGGTTATTGTACTCTTCATGGCTTCTGGTGCTCCAGCATCTCTCACATCTCACTCATCTTTCTCTCTCAGAATGATGATAGAGGATATGTTCTGGTTACTCCTTGCTACGGTCTCAGTTACCCCAGCACTTCACACATCCGTGGTGCCGTCAGGAAGGCTGGGCTCCGGCAGGCTGCTGGTTCTCTTCCTGTTGTTATTGACTGTTCCTGCATTGATACCACTGACTATACATCAGCTAAGGTATGACTAACATCTTGAGTCCGTTTAAAATTAAATGTATCACATATATTAATTATCTGTCATAGTGCCAAGACTTTAAGTTTTATTTTATGTAATATTTATTAGAGATTATGCTGGTCACTGTCAAATAATAGATGATTACAATAATTCGAATAATACTGTTGAAATTATCAATGCTTGAACATGTTACATATTCCAGTATTTGATAAAAAACATTCACTCATCCTGATAAGCCACTGGAAAGGCATCTGTTGTCTTCTTTTGTTCATCATTTGCAAGAAATGTTAATGAAAGCTAATTGCTAATGCCTTCCTGATACTGTGAATCTCTGTTAGTTAACTTCGATTAAATATGCAGTTTGTTTCATTGACAAAGAACAAAAAAGGCAAAGTATTTTTGTAACATTTTGTACTGGCATTTTGCTAATTAGGGCATAAAGGGGATGATAGAGGAGTTCCATCAGCGTGGGCAGAGTCTTGTGTTCTTGGGCATGAAGCCGAGCATCATCCAGATCGTTCAAGCTCTTCACAAAGACATCAGGATTTGCTCCAGCTTTGATGTTTTGTCTGAGGTCCTGGCAGGTATGTGATGATGTTTTGTCTGAGGTCCTGGCAGGTATGTGATGATGTTTTGTCTGAGGTCCTGGCAGGTATGTGATGTTTTGTCTGAGGTCCTGGCAGGTATGTGATGATGTTTTGTCTGAGGCTCTGGCAGGTATGTGATGATGTTTATCTGAGTGGAAATGGCACTTATAATGATATGTTTTCATCTGGTACTGTTCTTAGTAGGTATGTATGATGTTTAATACATGGGATCTGGCAGGTATGTAACATCATTTAAAAAAGCTTACCTATCAGATGGAAATGTGAGACAATGACCAATGTAAAATACTTGATTCCCATCCAAAGAGAAAAATGAAAGCCTTTCACAGTGGTATGGCCTGGTGGCTAAAACCCGTTCAAAACATGGGGGAGAGGGTGGAATGGAATTTTTACATTAATCTTATAGCAAAAAGGGCCGGGGTTTACCTGGGTGGTGATCGGGGACAAGATTAGAGACCCCAGTGGAACAATTTGACCAACGATGACAATTTCTTAGATACCATTAAATGGGGAAAAACTGAAAACCTTTCTATTATTTACAAAGAGTAAGCAGCAGTGGTGTCCACACCATAAATACACAGAAGAATCATTATACGAATGACACAAAATGCTGACATGTAGATAAGACACATGTGCAACACCTAGTTACTTTATATTGTCAAAAACATTACAGATCCACTAACGTTACACATGAGTCTTACTCAGGATATAAGAATGAAGACAACAATATTCTTACTTTGGGTTATTAACCAGTGATAGTGACGTAGACGCTATATTCCAGGGAAAACCTTTATTACAGAGTTTCTTCCAGGACTGGACTATATCATGAATATAAAAACATAGATACGCTGATGTATAAGATCAAAGTGAGGTAAATTAGAGGTAAAACGCGAGGTCAGGGGTGTGAGGGAGAGGTGAAACAATGATCACAGTGTGTGCCATCATGAAGGATGTGGGTAGCAGGTGGGGTCAGGTTTAAGGTAATCATCAACACTGTATGTGACGGGTGTTGCCAATACCAATCGGCTCATGCCATTGTTCAACCCTGCCAAGTAATGTGGCATATTTCCGTTGTGGTCATTTCACTTATGCTGTAGGATGCTAGCCACAACAGCCTCATTAATTCTAGGTACAGCAGGTGTAAGTTTCCATTACATCTGGCTTCACCTGGGAATCGAACCTAGGTTCATTTTGTTGCTGACACGGTCGCTGCGCACAACAATAAGAGCTATAAATATATGAGTTTTGATGACAGGCTAAAACTCTGAAAATACTCAAGTTGGCTAATACCAGGTAGATTACTATAAAAATTATTCAGTGGTAGAACAATGGAATAGCTAAATCCTAAAAGATGGAGCTAGTGTTACTAGCAGTGAAAATATTGTTGTGGTCTTTGAGGGCGAGATCCTCTGACATTATCACTCCCAGGTCCTTCATGTTACTTTTGCGCTCTATTATATGGTTAGAATTTGTCGTATGCCCTGATACATTTTTAATTTCCTCAAGTTTCCCATATCTGAATAGTTGAAATTTCTCCTCGTTGAACTTCATACTATTTTAAGTGGCCCATTCGAAGATTTGGTTGATGTCCGCTTGGAGTCTTGCAGTGTCTTCGATGGAGGTCACTGCCATGGTGATCCGGGTGTCATCCGCAAAGGAAGACACGGAGCTATGGCTTACATCTCTGTCTATGTCAGAAATGAGAATGAGGAATAGAATGGGAGCGAATACTGTGCCTTGTGGAACAGAGCTTTTACCATGGCTGCCTCAGACTTACTATTATTCTTTGTCTTCTATTTGTCAACCAACTTTTCCTGTTATTTCTTTATCACGCATTTTGTGTGCTATTACACCATGGTCACACTTATCGAGAGCTTTTGCCAAGTCTGTGTATACTACATCTGTATTTAGTTAATCCTCACAGCATCCATGACCTTGTCATAGTGGTCCAGTAGCTGGGACAAGGCAGGAGCGACCTGCTCTAAACCTGTGTTTCCCAGGGCTGTGTAAGTGATGGGTATCTAGGTGGTTGGCGATCTTGCTTCTTAGAACCCTCTCAAAGATTTTTATATGAGATGTTAGTGTTATCGGTCTGTAGTTCTTTGCAATTGCTTTACTGCCACCTTAGTGGAGTGGGGCTATGTCTGTTGTTTTTAGTGTGTGGGGGACGACCCCTGTGTCCATGCTCCCTCTCCATAAAATGCTGAAGGCACGTGATTGGGGTTTCTTGCAATTCTTGATGAACACGGAGTTCCATGAGTCTGGGCCTGGGGCAGAGTGCATGGACATGTCATTTACTGCCTTTTCAAAGTCTTGTGGAGTTAGGATAATATCTGAGATTTTTGAGATGACCAGATTTTGGGTCTCGTTCATAAAGAATTCATTTGGATTGTCGTCTCTTAGTCTGGGCAGTGGCTCGCTGAACACTGAGTCATATTGGGACTTTAATATCTCACTCATTTCTTGGCTATCATCTGTGTATGTCCAATCCCGCCTAAGCAGGGGCCCAGTACTGGATGTTGTTTTTCCCTTAGATTTAGCTTGTAAGATAAGTATTTTGTTTTTCAATTTTCTTTATGGCTTTTAGTTCTTCCTGTGATTCTTGTCTCCTGCAAAATTCCTTCAGCTTAAGTTCGATATTTGCTATTTCATTGATCAGTGCCTCCCTTCGTAGCATTATTTTCAATACGTGGCAAATACGGCTTTTTTTGGGTACATGTACACATGTTCCTATTATAAGTAATACACTAAACATTGTTGAGAATGAGCAAATTTCATTTTGTAAGTATATGTTATTCTGATAAGGATATTTTTTTACTTTAAATCAGTGTACAGAGCTCAATTTTGTATTCAGAGAAGTGCTTCTGCATTAATACTCTTTAAAAAATGTCTGTGAGTTACTGTTTCACATTGTTTGGCAACCATCAGATTTTCTTATTAATTGATGAACACTTGTCTCAGATGATGACGCAGTGTCGGAGGTGGAAACTGTGGAATGTACCAGCCGCCACCCAGGAGGAGACATACTTCTTCCTGTTCTGACATCCAAACCTTCACCTGACACCTCCACAGCTTTCCACGACCAGATGTAGCACACCTTTACTACTATTTTGACCAGAAATAGTAACCCTCTTCAAGGCCGAGTAAGCGGTGAAACAGGTCAACAAGTCTGTCGAAAATCTAGAACGCTAGAAGTCAATGGGCATGTATCTTCCTCGAAGCTTCAGGAGCATATGTTGAGGTCCCTAGTCCAGCTCATGTGTTGAGGTCCCAAGTCCAGCTCATGTGTTGAGGTCCCAAGTCCAGCTCATGTGTTGAGGTCCCAAGTCCAGCTCATGTGTTGAGGTCTCAAGTCCAGCCCAATGACTTTACCCTAGAGAAGGTGATTCTGGCACTGAGTACTTATGACTGCTGAGAGACGAAGTCCAGAATTTCATGTTCTCTCTGTGTGCCAATGAGTAATTAGAGAAATAAGAACATTTTGATAATTTCATCCTACAACATGGAATGTTCACTGCAGTACTTATTCATCAGTATCAGATGAAAACCGTTATATCATAGACTCAACTGAAGCATAAGCAATATGCTGTCTTCACAACAGCATATTCTGTCTTCATAATAGCATATTACGTGTCCTTGTAACAGTATATTATATGTTCTCATAATGTTATGGGAAAGAAGGCTATATCTGGTACATATTGTTGAAGGCATCCTGGCTCTCCATGTATGACCAGATAGACCAGCAGACCCATAACGTAATAGTGATACAACCTTATGTTAATTTTCACAACCTGCTTACATGGCAACCTCGTCATGCAAGCAGATAGGCTTAATTAAAGAATTCACTTCCAATAGGCTGTGGAGCTCTCCAAAATTCTGATACAAGTTATTTTATACAATGTAAGAGCGACTCTGTGCCATGCAAATGATGTACAAAAAAGAGATGAATAAAAAAATCATAAGGATTTTATTTGTAAAGTTTACAATGTGTAATTACAGTTTTGGTTTGCTAAGTACAAAGAAAGTCACTGTCATGCCGGGGCATTTCTGGCAGACTAATCCTAGTACATAATAAATACTTAAATCTAGACAAGATAAGAGTGGTTAACTAGTAATAAAATCTCTATTTAACCTTAATACTAATGCGAGGTAGTCAAGGTTTTTAAGAATAATGATCTTGAAGTTGCACATAATAAAAACAATATTACAAATAATGGTTCAAACAGTAATATTTCATGGATTGGCAGAAGTTTAATAGGCAAGAAGTCACATAATATTTGGGAGAGTTGCTTCAAACTGATTAGTTGTTGGTTTGGTTAGTATTGAGAGATGAGATGATTTTTAGGCAAATTCCTAAATTTATAAGTAGTCAGGCGACGAAGTCAAGTTCGTCTGTAGACCATCACGTGCTCTCTTCCTTAGAGAAGTCATCAATCTCCTTAATGCTCCAGAGATCGACCCAGACCGCAAATTTAGACTCATAACCATGGCAATACCGAAGTTCCAGACTCTAATGGGTCAATAGCTTAACACACCTCAAGCCGACCACCACCAATACAACTCATCCTGCTTGCTGCCTTCTGACACTCCCAGCTACTGCCGCTGCCTTCTCCATCCTCTCCTAGTGAGCCAAGTACCGACATCATCCAAGCCTCTCCGTATACGCATCCAGTACTTCTGTACCACATGTCCCAAATGGTTGGGCCACTTGCCTTGTTTCCTCCTCTTCCCCTCCTTCCCATTTTTTCCAGTATTTCCATCCTTCCTCATCCTTCTTCCTTCCCTTCTCACGACAGCTCTGGTCGTCTTCCTCGTGAAATCGTGAAGTAGTCAGGGGATCCTTTACCGGTTCAGGTAGTGAATTCCAGATCTTCGGGCCCTTTATATACATTGTATTTTTGCACAGTGAGACTGACACGAGAGATGTTGAAGAATGCCTTGTGTTGTGACTGTGTTCTGTTGTAGGTATCAAGGAGAAGTTTAAGTGGAGGGTTTACATTGAAGTTTAATGTTCTGTATACGTAGTAGGCAAAATAATATGAGTGTATGTCTCATATATTTAGCAAGTTCAGGCTTTTGAAAAGTGGTGGGGTGTGGTGTCTAGCACAAGACCTGGTAATGATCCACACAGCAGCTTGTTATTGGGTTATTAAAGGTTTAAGGTGGTTGATCCCCGGACACAAATACCATAGGTGATGCAGGGATATATTAAAGAGTGGTATAGGGTAAGGAGTGTCATTTGGGGTACATAGTATCGTATCTTGGAAAGGATACCTACTGATTTGAAAATTTTCTTGAAAATATGCTGGATGTGGGAATGAAATTTAAGATTACAGTCAAGGAGAAGACCTAGAATTTTACCCTCAGTGTGTCTTGTAATAGGGGAACCATTTATCGATATATTAAGTTGGATGTTCAAGGCTCTGTTTCCAAACAGCATGAAGTATGTTTTGTCTATATTGATAGTTGGTCACCATCCAAGTATATATTTTTAGCAGCTCGTTGTTAACAGTGTGTCTTCGAATTGTTGGGATTTGAGTGGGAATAGACATAAGTAGTGTTATCTGCGAATAAAACTGGTTTAAGTAGTTAAGATGCACTGGGGAGATCATTAATGTAGATGAGAAAGAGGGGTGGGTCTAGGACACTACCCTGGGGCACTCCGACAGCTACAGGCTGGATAGTGGAGTTGACTCCATTTGTGTATACATAATGGTGTCTGTTGTTAAGATATGATTTTAGGTAATCTAGGGAATGACCTCTGATGCTGTAAAGATTTAGTTTTAGGTGCAGGAGATTGTGGTCGACTGTATCAAATATTTTCCATAGGTCGATGAAGAGCCCCAGAGGATATTCAATTTTATCGAGGGCTGTATATATTAGTCCAAGCATCTGTATAATATCAACATTCGTACTGTTGTTTGGTCTAAATGAATCGATCGACTTTATCTCACGTATTCTAGGAACTCTAGAAAAAATATATTCAAAAGAAGATGCAGCTTATTAGAGATGTGTCCAGAATTCTCAACAGACATGAATAATAAAGAAGATTATCATCATATGACACAGAGATAATGTTTGATCAGCCAGTTAATGCTAAAACATGTGAAGTTATAACAATATAAATACAATTAAAAAAATAATCAAAATATGTGGGAGGGGGGGCAGGGGGAAGAAACAAAATAATTTCTTCTTCAATCATTTCGATTTTATTTCGCTCATAACTTGAAAGTGCTTCAGCCATTCAGCTTTAAATTTTCAGAGCAGATTTAGCAATAATCGAGAGACAGATTCTAGGAACAACTGGAATGTGCTGATGCCAGAAGTGCTGATCTCAGTCCCAGCATCCTGGAATGACTCCAGTAACTTCCAAAACTCTCAGTGGCGTAACTTCAGACGACGACGGTAGGAGAGTACAAATTCAAGTGTGTAGGAGTAGTGGTGTCCATTGTATGTGTTAGTTTAATGTGTTTATTATGCACCCCATACCCATCCTGTGGGCGGTAGTAATACCCATCCTGTGGGTGGTAGTAATACCCATCCTGTGGGTGGTAGTAATACCCATCCTGTGGGCAGTAGTCATACCCATCCTGTGGGTGGTAGTCATACCCATCCTGTGGGCGGTAGTAATACCCATCCTGTGGGTGGTAGTAATACCCATCCTGTGGGCAGTAGTCATACCCATCCTGTGGGTGATAGTCATACCCATCCTGGGGGCAGTAGTCATACCCATCCTGTGGGTGGTAGTCATACCCATCCTGTGGACGGTAGTCATACCCATCCTGTGGGCGGTAGTAATACCCATCCTGTGGGTGGTAGTCATACCCATCCTGTGGGCGGTAGTCAAAAGATTACAGAGGTACATAATGGGTCCAGGGACTGGACCCCAAAGTTATGATAGCTGAACTAGTTACAAAGGTGTGACGAATGGTTTGAAAAACCGACAAGTTGAAGATTGAGACACTTATGCAGCATATGGGAATCTTTATTCAGGAAACGTTTCGCCACACAGTGGCTTCATCAGTCCAATACAAAGAGGAAGGGGTAAGGAGAGGAGTATGAGGTAATCGGTCCCTCAACCTGGAGTCGATGTGTTCAGTCCATCAATCTTGTAGAATGTACAGCACAGGGCCGTAGACGTGGCTTATATACTGTAGTGAGGTGAGGTGAAGCAGGCGGAGGCGGGGTCATAGTGGTACCATCCACTAGTCGAAGTAGGTCTTCGTCCAAAGGTTGAACAAGTGTTGAAGAATTCTTTGTAACAAGATCCCATGATGCTGCAGTGTCTGACAGTTGTGATGAATGGTTTGAAAAACCGACAAGTTGAAGATTGAGACACTTATGCAGCCTGCTTCACCTCACCTCACTACAGTATATAAGCCACGTCTACGGCCCTATGCTGTACATTCTACAAGATTGATGGACTGAACACATCGACTCCAGGCTGAGGGACTGATTACCTCATACTCCTCTCCTTACGCCTTCCTCTTTGTATTGGACTGATGAAGCCACTGTGTGGCGAAACGTTTCCTGAATAAAGATTCCCATATGCTGCATAAGTGTCTCAATCTTCAATAGTTACAAAGGTATAAACTCCAGGTAGATCTGGTCACATAGGGCAAGTTACAGATAATGAATCAGCCTCACTCATACATGGTTACAGTCATGAAAAATTAAAAGTAATAAACCATGACACGTCCACCCCGGGTCACAATTGTAAGGTTATAAATCAAATATTAAAGGGATCATACCCACTCGGCGCGCGCGCGGTCGGGGGCTGTGCCATGGAATAGCCTAAAAAGTGTTTTGGGTGGGCGGGAAAACCTACATATTTTTTTAAGGCGAGGCAATAAGCTCTGGGGAGGGAGAGAGGGGACCAAGTAGCAATCAGCAAAAATAGGGGGCAGGGCGTGACCGACCCCTGCAACCAAAAATGGTGAGTACAAATAGGTGAACAGCAGCACACGCCGCACGCCCACGCACGCAACACACGACACCTTCCCGGGGCTGGGATCGGCCCCTGCAACCTCAGCTTCAACTAGGGGGTACACAACACTCCAGTCTTAATGACGGGGTGTGACGACTCCAGTACATATTGACGCAGGCAAAGTTACTTTCGTTTGGTCTACTTTGGTAGTATTTTATTCTGTATCCAAAAACAGTTAAAAGATTATCATACATACCTATGTGTAAACAAACCCGGTTTAACCCCAAAAAAATCAGACAGAGTGATTACTGCCAATGGGGTTATTTAAACCCGCCTAGATGTAACCCCGGGCCGGCGGTAGGGCTCCCAAAAGGGCTGCTTTCTTATTGGGTGTACCAAGACAGGGCACCTCCCGCATGATGGAAGATATAGATGGGGGACTTGTGCATCTCCCTAAGCCCAAAAAAGTTCAATTGAATTCTTTTCTTTTTGTTTCAAATGCTAAACTGACAACCCAAATTGTAATCTTCCCCTTGGAAAGCTACAGCTTAGCCCAATTTTTGAAAAAATACAGCTTACCAATTATGAAACAAAACAGCTTAGCCAATTTATAAAGATACGCTTGCCAATTTATCACTCTATCATGTTGGAGACAAGTATTAGTGCAAAAAAAGGTGAAAAAATTTTATTCTGTTAAATCACGTTAAATTAATTTCAGGTTAGCTTTTCAGATTTGTTTCATTATGTGATAACCGAGCATCGTATATCAGGAAAGTTTTGCTTCTGTGTGAGAAAACTGGTTGATGGAGTAAAACAGTTAAAAAACAAGCTTAGATTTTAGAATATATGACATAACTGGTAAAAGGAGAAAAGAAATTGAGAGAAAAATAAAGAGAGAAGAAGAGAAGAATAAAGAGAGAAGAAGAGAAGAATATAGAGAAAGGTTTTAGTTCTTCGATAATTAATAATATATGTTGGCCACCTCTGCTCTTTCAGTAGTAATAGTAACTAGAGAGGGAATAAAGTTGCAG